CGCAATTATACGAAGCTACGAGAATACTTTTTGTGCGCAAAAGGAAAAAAAAAACGACTTTATTCAACAACTCGTTTCCTCCGCATCACCCTGGTGCCATTTTGGAGAATATCTGCTGGATGTAAACAGTGTATGCTGTTTTGTGTCAGCTGCGTCACGCCGGATCTGTTTCCTAAGATTTTATTTTTTATTTCAGTTACTTTTAGTATCTTTTTAGTAATTATTGTTTGTTTTTTTCTTAAATTTTCTTAAATTTATTTTGATTTCAGTTTTAGTTTGACTAATTTTAGTACTTCAAAACTTATTTTATTTCAATTAGTAGCCAGGACAATGTTTCTATTTCTATAAGTTTATTTTTTTCATGTAATATTTTATTTTATTTTTTTAATCTTTGTTTTTGTTTGAATTTTAGCAATTTTAGTATTTTAAAAAACATATTTTTTTCAGTTGCAAAGGCAACATTTCTGTTTTTAATTTTTATATGTTATCTATTTTTCATCTAATATTTTATTTTATTATTTTGTTTTATTTCATTTTTATCTTAAATTTATTTTTATTTCAGTTTCAGTTACTTCAATTTAAACTTATTATCTTTCATTACTTGCCAAGGCAAATTTTAAATTTCATGTTTTTCATCCAATATGCTTTTCATTATTTTGGGTTTAGGTTATTATTTTGTGTAGTTTATTTTATAAATGCATTATTCCTAGAAGCTTTTTTCCAGCTGTATTCCTAGAAGTATTTTATTTTATTTTACAAGCTTAAAACTTTTAGTTATACTTTTAATTTTAGTTAACAATATAAACACTGGTGTGCAATTCACAAAACTCCCAAAATGCCACACTATAATGTTTTGCAGGAATATACACGTTGCCTGTGGAAGGTCAGTGCTTCAGTGAAGTGCTTTATGTCGAGCTGCAGAAGGAAGAAGCTACCAAACTTCTTGAACAGTACAAAGAGGAGAGCAAAAAGTCCCTTCCTCCTGAGAAGAAGCCCAACCAGGGAGGTGTTCAACCAAAGAGGGGAGGCACTTGGGGACGAGGAGGCAAAAATATGTTCAACCGTGGTGGAGGAGGACAGGGTCAGAGGGGAGGACGAGGAGGCTTTCAAAACCGAGGCAACTTTAGGGGTGATACGTTTCAGATGAACTAAATATTTATTTTTATTCATTATATACGTATTTGTATAGAGGAACATTAAAGACACCATAAAGCAGCACACTTTAGAGTGAATCAGAATATTGAGCAGGAAATCATGTATAAATGATTCGGATTTTCTGACAGTGCCCGGACCTCGTGGTGGGTTCAGCAGACCACCGAGAGGCTTCCTTCCTCCCCCTGCCTTCCGAGGAGGCTTCAGCCGGGGCAGTTTCAACCGTGGCGGTGGGATGCCTAACAGAAGTGGTGCCCCCAGGCCGGGACCTGGACGTGGCAATATGGTTAACATGGGTAACAGGGGAGGAGCCATGAACAGGGGCAACATGGGACGAGGGGGAGGGGCCAACCGGGGCAACTTCAACCAGGTGAGAGATGATGTAAATCAGTTTTAGTTGGAAATTAAAATGTAGTTGTCGTTGTAAATCTTCAAATATTAAAAACAATACTAAAATGTGAACCAGGAATCATAAACCTGCTGTTTCCACAGAAGTTCAGGGGTTTAGGAGGAAATAATCAAGGTTTTAAAAATGATGCTTTTTCATTTACTTAGAAATGTTTCGTTTTGTTTTATTTTATTTTAAAGTGAAATGAGGCTTAGTACTTAGCTCAGTTTTATTTTATTTATTTATTGAACCTTTATTTAACCAGGAGATAAAACTCTTGAGATATAAAATCTCTTTTACATGAGGGTCCTGGCTAAGACAGGCAGCACACATAGTTAAACATAAAAACATTTAAACAAAATACATGAATGCACATAAAGATATACACATAAATCAAAGCGCGTATAATCGGGCAAATCCAAGACAAAATCATTTAAATTACATTTGAATTCATCGAAAGAGACCAACTCTACCAAAAACTAAAATGTGATTTTTAACCCTAACCCTAACCCTAACCCTAAGTTCAGGGGTGATGCTCTTTTTGGGGTTAGGTTATTGTTTTGTGTAGTTGATTTTATTAATGCATTAAGAGCTTTTTTTCCAGCTGTATTCCTAGAAGTGTTTTGTTTTTGTGGAATGTGCTACATTCTGCTTAATTCAGTTTAAAACTAAATTCAACCATAACCAGGAGATAAAACTCTTGAGATATAAAATCTCTTTTACATGAGGGTCCTGGCTAAGACAGGCAGCACACATAGTTAAACATAAAAACATTTAAACAAAATACATGAATTCACATAAAGATATACACATAAATCAAAGCGCGTATAATCGGGCAAATCCAAGACAAAATCATTTAAATTACACTTGAATTCATCGAAAGAGACCAACTCTACCAAAAACTAAAATGTGATATCATAAATCAGATTTTTTAACCCTAACCCTAACCCTAACCCTAAGTTCAGGGGTGATGCTTTTTTGGGTTTAGGTTATTGTTTTGTGTAGTTGATTTTATTAATGCATTAAGAGCTTTTTTACCAGCTGTATTCCTAGAAGTGTTTTGTTTTTGTGGAATGTGCTACATTCTGCTTAATTCAGTTTAAAACTAAATTCAACCAAAATGTGAACCAGGAATCGTAAATCTTCTGTTTCCACAGAAATTCAGAGGCCGAGGAGGAAACAATCGAGGTTTTAAAAATGGAAACTTTAGCATGAACAAAGCACAAGCTTTCAACCAGAGCTGGCAACAAGGGGTAAGTCCCTCAGAAAAATATGTATAAATATACTATAATTTATTTATATATGAAAACATTTTTAAATGAAAAATTTCTATTAATGGTCCTAAAAAATCATCCAGGTTTCATTCTTTAATTATTTGTATCTTTGTCTTCATCAGTTCTGGAATCAGAAGCCATGGAGTCAACAGTACCATCCTGGATATTACTGAATAATAGCTGTGATGGACTGATATCATATAAAGAACATCAGCTTTAACTTCCGAAGTCAGACGTTCATCTTATCTAATGTCCTTTTGTTTTTGTACAGATTTGAATAGGACATTCCATATTGGGAGCTTTCAGAGCTTTACAGGTTACCTGTTACAGTTTTTTAAATGAATATTTTATGTTTGTCTCTGACCGCATGTTTGTATGACAACGCAGTTCAATTCAGGAATCTCAGTATAACTTCAGGGTGGGATGTTTGTATGTTAAATCCTTTCAGGGTTCTGAATTGTATTTTTAATTAGACTCGTGTGAATCTTTGTGTAGCAGTAAAGCTCTGTAATATAAGAAGTCTGCTGTTGAAGCACTTTGCAGTTATATGAAGAATATTTGTCTTGCTGCAATAATATTTATAGTTAAAAGAACATGAAACATGTATAAACTAAGATAATGAAATTTGAGAAAAGACTTGTATAAAAGATCTGGTCAGATTTTGCAGACAGTATGTTTAAAGAAAAGGAATTGAAATAACCGGAAATGTCAACCATAGTTGCATAATAATTGTGTGCTTTTTGGAAAATCTCTTCATTGGATTAGCAGTCCACTGGAAAGCCGTCCATCATTTTATGTTTAATTTATTTTACGAGTGCATTAAGAGCTTTTTTCCAGCTGTATTTCTTAGAAATTTAATGTATTATTTTATTTTCTTGTTTTATTTTGAAATGTGGCTTACTGCTCCTTAAAGATTTTAACTTGATTTAAGTTGAATTTCATAATATATTTGGTCTTTTTGTAAATTATTTTATGTTTTAAAAGGGTATGCGTCTTTAACATAACCTTAGATGTGACCCCAATTTTTGTAGACCTGTAAAAATGTGTAGTTTGCTTCAAAATTATAGCAATTAAATAACACTACTAGAATTTTGGACTACATAATCTTACACTCTAAAAAATGCTGGGTTAAATATAACCCAGCGCGCTGGGTTAAAAAGGGACAAACCCAGCTATTGGGTTGTTTTGACCCAGCAGTTGGGTTGTTTTGACCCAGCGGTTGGGTTGTTTTGACCCAGCGGATGGGTTGTTTTGACCCAGCGATTGGGTTGTTTTGACCCAGCGGATGGGTTGTTTTGACCCAGCGAACCGCTGGGTCAAAACAACCCAATAGCTGGGTTTGTCCCTTTTTAACCCAGCGCTGGGTTATATTTAACCCAACATTTTTTAGAGTGTACATATGAATCAGTGATTATACAATTATTTCATAATAGTGTTGTCTTTATAGTAAAGCTTTCAAAGCATTCCAGGATGCCATTATGGAATGTTAACAATAGACTGATTTTCTAATGCTTTAATGGAAAAATGTGTAATTATTGTAACTGCAAACAATTATAACACATTTGAAAGTTTCTTTCTCTTATCTGTAAGTCTATAAGGCTTTTGCCTAGCCATTCAATTTAACCAGTTGGTTGATTACTTGTTCTCTAGTGACTGAATGAAATATGCATCTATATTGTTTTTTCTTTTTCTTTTAGAATTGCAGATAATCTCATGTGTGTCAGTATTGTTAAGATGACCTAAATGTTTCCAGACATATGATGCAATGACAAATATGTTTTACCTAATGTTGGCTAAAGAAATGGTAGATATTCGGAACATATTATTTTATTACTTTAAAAGTATTGCTGTTTTGTACTTGAAAATGATTAATGGCATGTGTTGTAGGAAATGAAGGTGACTTTAATTGAAGCTTGTTTTGATGTTGTATTTGTTCATGTTTAAGGTATTTGATCAGGTAACAAATATAGTATTTAAATTATAACACTTTGTAATATAGACCTTTTCCGTCTTTTTTTTTTATAACTTGCAATGTTTTTTTATTTTACCTTAATCAAATAAGAAGAAAAAGACAAAATTAGTAACTTATTCCATGCATTCTCTTGGAAATACATTGTTTTTAAATGCTAATAAAGTTTTAAGATAATAACTGGTTTACAGTTGCATATCTATCTATCTATCTATCTATCATATTAGGCATATTGACTGTTGCAATAAACTGAAGCCAACAGAGGACTAAGCAAGATTCCAGAAACTATCCTATAGGCATATCCATGCAGAAATATAACAAATCCGTCTGTAACTATTTAACTCTCTGTTTATGTACAGCTCTGCCACATGAATGAGATGTAGTTACACTGAAACCAGACATATGTTTGCTGAGTCGAGCACAACGCCTTTGAAAAGAAATATCACATTTCATGCCTGTTTGTAAAATCTGCAACAGTATAATTTAAAAAAAATCCTTCAGTGTCCTATTAAGTCTTTAAATAATTGATATGTATTTATACGTAGTGGTCTGTAATCAATTAGATGTTGAACTTTTATTTTGAAACAAAACGATCGGAAATGACTCGCTTCCTACTAGAGCCAGTGGGGAAAAAAGTGACAATGTGGCAAATACACAACATTTATACCACCAGAGGGCGCAAGGCGGCCCAAAAATCCCCCGTGCAAATCTCAGAACGTTTTTTTCCCCCTTATTTACACAATATAAATTACATTAATTTAAATCTGTTACATCAACGGATTTTTGACCTAACATGCAAATTCGAATGTGCAATACAACAATCTCTATAACATGATTATAAAAATTCTAATCGGGTAATCGTCAACTATTATGATTGGTCCATCCTAATAGCGCGGAGAAAAGTAACATGTACCACGTGACAACGTGATACTTTAATATCTATCTGAATAGTAATAATTCATGTAATACCTAAATGACAAAGACAATTACTTTAATAAGTATTGAAGTGACAGCACAGAGTGAATATTTAAAAAAATGAGAATTATTATTTAGATCTTTCATCGTTTGCTCAGCGGTGCTTATCTGGATAAACTCACGCCATTCTATCCTCTTATATTTCTATAGCAGAAAAACACATCCGCCCCCTGATTCATCAGCACTTACTCGCTCAGGAAGAAACAGAGGCAGGAGTGTGTGGTTCATACATCTGCAATGGCCATTGAGCTGCGCTCTGGTGTCAAATATGGCTCGTTTTTGTCACTTGCAGTGGTGTTGGTGGCGTATTGGTTCCGCTCACCGGGCAGTTCGGTTCTGGACGAGAGACTGGACGCGGTTCTGTCTTCACTGCTGCGCGCAGAGCGGAAAGTGAACAGCGTGTCCAACCCGCGAGTGGCTATAGGTACAGACTTTTAAGTGCACTTAACAGCATGCAACAAATAATTATGATATGCAATGTACAGGCTTGATTGGAATAGATTCTGCAGTTCTCAAAGTTCAGATTATCTAATTGATATAATAAAGTTTCTTTGTATTTATTTTTATAAAAACTAAAAAAGTACTTTAATAATAAAATATTAATATTTTATTATATTATAATAATAATAGTAATAAACGTTTTAATTAATGTAATAATAATACAATAATAAAATGTTTAAATGTTAGATTTACATCTTTTGTTTTAAGTATGCATTGCATATAGATTCAATTTTGCAATTCTCAAAATAAGACTAACTAGTTTATGTAGTAAAGTTGTATTTTTTATTAATTATTATACTCATTTAATGTAATATGTATTGTATATATATGTATGTATTCATGTTTAGTTTTATGACTTAAATGTATTGATTTATTTTTAAGCTCTTAATTAATTATTTATAATACACTGATAATTTTTCAATTTAACCAGGGTAGTTAACTAAAACCATAAAAAAAACTTTATTTACTTGAAATAAAATCAACTTTTGCTTTAATATAATAAAATAATTTTATTTCATCTAGTTGCCAAGGAAACATTTCTTTAGTTTAGTACTTTATGTACTAATATAACTAAAACTAAAAATAACAATGAATAAAAAAAAAAACTATAAAAAACTCATAAAATGAGAAAAACACAAAATAAAATGACTAAAACTCGAACTAAAATGATAATAAATAATATAAACAGATAATAGATCATATAAAAATAAAAACTTAATCAAACTATTTAAAATATTAAATTATAATTGTATCCCAATGATACTAAAATAACACATATTTTAACAAATAATAGCTCATTTGTTGTGTTCATTTTGGTGCATTATTGTTCCTGATGTTTCTTGAGCTTGTTAGTATTTTATCTAATAATTTGGCTTGTTTTGCTTCTGAGGATTGTTATCTTCTATAGGATCAAGCCTGTGCTGATGTTTTGCATGTTAGTTTTGCATTCTTTTTTCTTTGTTTTTGTTGGTTTACACTATAGTAGTAACAAGTGCTGAGTGCTTGTAAGGTTTAGGCCTTGTTTACCAAAAGTCTTCAATCATTAACATGAGTCGCATACACAGCCCAATGCAATGCAATTAAAGTATTGGTTGCACACATTACAGTCACAGCAAGCAAAAGTTCTGACTTTTCTAGACTCTTGATTGAATCTTTGTTGAGTGGACTGATAATCAATCAGTTGAAGTTCTGTATGCATTGACTCAGTGAAACTGATCTGTGATTTCATCGATTTTCAACCCGTGATTGGTACCTGCTTGGCACCTAATCCAGTTTGTTCAGATATCGTATGACCTGTGATTTACATGTGTTTTGTTGGATGGTCAGGTTCAAGGATTGAATTATTGTAATATTAGATTAGATTATTGCACATGTGTCATTGTCTCTTATCAGGTTTTGGCGGCTGTGTGGATATCATAGTCGATGGAGTGACTCTGCTGAACAAAATGGGTTTGAAGCCGGCAGACCAGCCCCTCCACCACGACTACATAGAGAACACGGAGCAGCTGGCACAGAGTTTCGCTTACTTTTTCTCCCCCGGCGCTGCTTCAGAGTAAGTGAGAGCCGTTCAAGCATGTTCGCAAAGCCCTTGGGACTGTAGAGATTGCGCAATGTAGCACAGTACAGGTGTTGTGATTTATTGAATTCGAAGCCTAGGGTCAATTAAATTGTTTTACAAGTTTACATAGTTTATCTGATTGCAAACTTCCGTTTTGTATTGGTTGGAACAGTTAGAATTCAAACTAATTAACTGGTCTCAAGTTCCCCACAAGTTCACACAGGTAGCCACAGATGCAGTTCATCAGATTAGCCATGAACAACTAACATTGTGCAACCACAAAGTGTCACATTAATGAAATAACATTAGAAAATTTCTTTAAAGGAGTAATGAACATTTACTCACCCTCAGGGCATCCAAGATGCAGATGAGTTTGTTTCTTCTTCGGAACAGATTTGGAAAAATTTAGGATTACATCAGTTGCTCACCAATGGATCCTCTGCAGTGAATGGGTGCCGTCAGAATGAGAGTCTAAAACAGCTGATTAAAAACATCACAAGTAATCCACACAACTCCAGTCCATCAGTTAATGTCTTGTGAAGCAAAAAGCTGAGTGTTTGTAAGGAACAAATTCATCATTAAGATGTTTTTAACTTCAAACCGTTGATTAAATATGAGTACTCTATCTATAATATTGCTTTCTCCAGTGAAAATTTGTCTCGTCTGAATCAGGAGAGAACTGTTTACAAGCAGAAAGAGTTCAAAGCCTTTCTAAACACACATATTGGTGGATTTTGATGTGAGACGACAACAGGGGATGGACTTTTTCACTGAAGAAAGCATTATGATAGATTATGGACTTAAAGTTGAAACGCCTTAATGATAGATTTATTTCTTACAAACATGCAGTTTTTTTTGTGAGTTGATGGACTGGAGTCATGTGGATTACTTGTGGATTATTGTGAATTTTCATGTTTGGGTGAACTGTTCCTTTAAATTGTGAAGCTGAAATGCATCAGACCGTCTTAGTTTTGTTGTGCTAGCAATATGGCAGCTGCGTCCTGCAAGAGAATTCACACTTGAGAGCGGAATGACAGGCTTCTCAAGATAATATTGCAGTTATGTTGAGACGCTGCATAGTGCTGTTTGAGACGTGTCTGAG